TTTAAATCTTTCCTATGAAAGTAGAGAACTCACTCACTCCCATTTTTCCCTGGTAAGCCATCTCTTTATCAATCCAAAAGGTTTGTTAATATTTTTAATTCAGTAAGATTTTTTTTTATTATTATTTTTTTTTGGTAGGGGAGAATATTTAGGATTTAGAAGACCTATCTTACCTTTCTTATTTTGTGCATTGAAAACATAGGTCAGTAATTTAGCAGATGAGTGCATTTATGTTTACACCTCACAGACCACCTTTTGAAAAACCATATAGATTCAGAAACTTCCATTAGCATTATCTGACTACCAAGGTGTTGGGAGTCTGAGGTGTAAAGTGAATGCTGTCAGGTTGTGTTTGTGATTTCTTAGGGATAAAAATAATAACAAAATATTTTAGTTGATGTAAAAGACTACTTGCAGTCCTTATTTGTGCAAATAGTTCTCCATGAAGGCCAGAAGCAAGAAAAAGTTGCTTGACATTCTGTTGTGTTTTTCATGTCATTGAGTCATAGAATATCTCAATTTGGAAAGGACATGTAAGGATCAAGTCTAATCCCCTGTTCCTCACAGGACTATCTAAAACTAAATCATATGACTAAGAGCATAAATATTATTTTTTTCAAAACTGTCTGAAGCTTTTTCAAATATCAAATCAGTTAAAATTATATAGCAAATTAGGATTTTTACATTTAAGAAATTGCAGCTACTTAGGGCTGAAATCTCAGGCTGGGCTTTGAAGTTATAAATACATAAATGCTTAAAAAAAAAAGTGTCTGAGATGTGGTTGAAATAACTTCACTAACAAGCTGTTGATTTGTTCTAGACAATATTATAATTTTATGAAATGCCAAAATGTATTTTATGTTAAATAAGAATCTGAAAATTCACTAGCAAAACTTTAATGCAATTTTTATTTAATATTATGTTAGAAGGCAGCACAGCTGGAGAAAGGACTAATGTTGTCCTTCCTTGCCTTCAAAAAAGTCTTTAAAACCTGAAGGAATAGTGGAATTGTTTTTCTTATTTTCCAGTTGGGTACAATAACAGTCTAAAATATGTAATCACAACATGGCAGAAAATATTAGTTTTCAAGCTTTGACAGCAACATCAAAAAAGCTCTGCTAAAAAAAATAAAAATGTTTAGGATCCTTAAATGAAGTCCCTAAATGGAGCTTTTTTTTTCTAGTAAATTTTAATTTCCAGTAGCAGTCATGTAGAGCTCAGTTTTGATTGTTACATGCAGTGAGAGATAAAAAACCTGTAAAATGATCATGGAAAACTGAACTTATCAGTACTACAGTTAGTGTCAGTTTATGGCTTTGTAAATCAGTTTCTGTCATTTTTTTGCAAGTTTGTGTAATAAGTAAATCGATGCATAGTTTTCCTGTTTGGTTTCCTAGAGATAAGTGTAATAGAAAAATTAGCAACCATGTATCCATATTGAAACGTCACTAAACAAACTGAAATTTGTGAAAATTGAAACTGAAAAACAAGCTGTGGTGGGTAGGTGTTATCACTAGCAATATTGGACTATTCTTGTGGCCCACAATGAAACCAGCTGCATTTATGATATACAGAAAGCTCGGCTCTGTATATTAAGGAGAAAAAAAAAAAAAAAAAAGAAAAGTGAATACCTAATCTCAGGAGGAACGTTGCTTTATTTTTTATCCTGGTGGGACCAGTCAACTAGGAATAGGCTGACATATTACTTTACGTTATAGATCCTAGCACTTCACAGATAGTCCATTCAGAGAAGTAATTTGCCCTTTGTAGAGTGTCATCAACAATGTGAATTGGAACACCGCAGGCTTAAATCTCAAATCCTTGCTATTAGAGTAAATGAAGGTATTTTATAATCTCAGCATGGAAGAAAATAGGAGACTATTGAAAAGGACTTGAATATGTATTTTTCATGCTTTAGACTAAGTCAATTCTTTTTCAAAGCTAGGAGGAAACTTCAAATCATAGGTGTCAAGAGACCATGAAGATAACACATAATGGAAATATTAATATAAATTTTTCAAGCAAAACATCCCTCAGGATTTAGTACTCAAGGGAAAGAAATATAGCTTTTAAAATCAGATATTTTTAAGGACCCAAGCCTAATGTAATTTATTTTAATAAGTGAAACAAAGATTATATACCCTAAAAAGCAGGAATCTTACGTAGTGCCAGTAAGCCAGGAGTTTTATGTTGTCGCTGAATGTGCAGAGCAGAGTTGCAGAGGTTGCAGCTTTGTCAGAGAGCTTCAAACATTTTTCTTTATGACTATAACCTTTTATGGCCCTCAGGCTTTCAGTTATAGGGCATTCTTGTTTTATACCATGTTGTAGGACTGTAATATTTGGGGCTGATAACACATGAAGTTCATTTCTAGGTTTGAAAAAAAATATCATGTACTCTTGCCATTTCTGCTTCATTGATTGGGAATCCTTTTTGTATTAAGATTTTATATAGAAAGAGGGATATTTTATTTTAGGATTATTGGTTAGGATTATTGGTATTCAGTACTACTTATCAATAGGCAAGGGTAAAATTGTCGGAAATAACGGGAAATTGGTGAAACACATTATGTTGTAGTTTAGAGATACCAAAAGAGAGATTTTCCTATAAAAATATGAATTCTGAAGCTTGAAAATTAACAGGAGTTGCAACTACAAACTCCTCTCCTTCAGTAAGCTTTCTGAAACTGCTGGCAAAATGACTGGGATTGCTTTGACACCCTTCCGTTAAACGTGTGCCACAGACAGTTTTTGAGCTTCTGCTGGGAGTGAAAGTCAGCCCCTTTCATTTCACCACATAATTTCTGGAAGTTATTAGCAATTCATCTTCTGATGTATGATAAAACCAAAACTGCTGTGGTTCAATACATTGAATACGAATCTTAATATTGTACTTATTGAAAAATATTTCTCTTGAATTTCACATCCTTGACATTTGTAGCAAATACTCAAGATATTTGAAAGAAGAAATATCCTACTTCAGATATTTTTCTTACCATTTGGATGTATGTTTATTTTAATTCTCAGATCTCATTCCTTTGTGTGTATGAATACCAGTCAGCCTTTCCTTGTTAAATTTCCCATATTATACACTTGTGAAACATCTTTAAAACATAATCTTCAAATAATGATGATGCATATCTCTCTTACATACAGATCTTCATTGTTTTTTTTATCTTCCTTTTCTGTCTACTAGAAAAAGTTAAGTATTAAATAAAAATCGGATTATTTGATATCCAACATAATTTTCTGCCTGCAGAAAGGCCAAAAGTCCTCTCTTCCTCCTTTTCCCATGGGTAATTTGAAATGCAAACTACAGTAGTGGAGAAGGCTTAGGAACTGGAATAGAAGAATAATGCTTTTCAGGAAAATTAATTTTTTTAATAATTGAACCCCTAAAGATAGGGTTGATAGATTTTCTCACTGAGGCATTTTATGGTAGATACCATTTTAAATTGTGCCTTAGTATAACATTTTTTAAATTGAGGTCTTTGCCTTTGAACAGCTACTAAAGGGCATGGTATGAAAGTGTGATGGTAAGATGACTTTGAAAGTTTCCAGTTCAGTGATGGTTCTTTATTATTTGAGATACACCCAAAAAGAGTAAATTTATGTGAGCTGTTCTCCAATTTATTCAAGGGACCAATGCCCAGAGATGCTATTCTGACTTTAAGATTCACATCCCTGAGTTTACTTGCTGTTTTTGAGAGTGAAACTGAGGACTTTCCAGAGACTACCTCCACCAACTTTGTCTTTTTATGCTGCTTCAGTGGCATGTAATTTTAGAAATGTATGGGTTCTTTTTACCAAGAAGAATTAATCTGATTATTTTTGTGTCAGAAGCTAGTGTAAAGTACTGCACAGTAAAGCTTCAAACATGAAACTTAATACTTACTTTAGTCAAGTATGACTCCTGTTTGTTCACAGAGATTTAAAATGTATAACTTTGTGTTTTTAACTGATGTACCAACCACAAGACAATTTTGTAATAGGTTCTGTGCTGAATTCCCTGAGTAAGTGTGCAAAAGCACACTGAGCATACAGTCACAGTGGCCATCCTCAACGCTTGTAGATGTACTCTCTGTGCTTGTGTTCTGCATTTAGTACATGCACTTCATGATACAATCTTTTCTTATAGCTGTGTCCCAAGGCTAAAAGCTACCTAATCTTTATGAAGCAATTCATAATGGTATAAAGACACAAGAGTAAAGAGGTGAATAGGCATCTACTACAATGTGTAAGAAGAGAGAATCATTCATCAATTCAGACAGCATGATGTTGGAAAGTCAATCATGTAATTCATGTCATTGTAGTGTTTGGGAGAGAAACACATGCTTTACTAATAAATAAAGATGTTTTGGATTCTAAGAATAGAAAAGAGTGCATTAATATCAAGTATTACTGTTTTTTGAGACTATTCTTATATATATATATATATATCTATATACATAGAACCATTATTTTGAAATTCAGAAGAATATAGCTAAATTGTTTTGAGTAACTCTGCCTCAATGTTATAAAGAGAAATGCCTGACAAATCTGCCCTATTAACCTGTTAAACCCAAGAAGTTAGTTAATGTAGCATACTTAAAAAAACATAGCATATTTAAAATTTCACTATGTGCCCTGAGTCTCTTAATTAAAATTCTTAATGATGCATGCTGACTGTTTCATAGTATGTATAATATTATATTTCTGTATTTTGATTAATTTCTGTCATTTAAAAATACTAATTTAATTACTGTTCCACTCACCTGAATCATATCAGTGAAGCAGACCTAGAAGTAATTTCCAAAGCAGTATAACATTGCTGTTTCTATTTAATAGCTGAAGTGTAGAGCTCATTTTTGTTGAGAGCTAGTCAAAATATGAGGTTCTGGGTCATGGATTTTGGCAACAACAATTATACTACTCTGCTCCTTTTGTGATTTTAGTGTGTCAAACAAGAATTCACTTCCTCTCTTTCTAAATAAATCTTAAAATGTTTGGGTTTTTTTACAGCCTTGTGGAAGAAATCCATCTTTTTCCAGTTGTTTTGCAAGTCATATTGGTAAGAATATTTTATATATATATATATGTACACTAATAGATTAGTAGCATATCTCCCAAATAATGTCAAACTAGTAAGCAAGTTTAGTAAGAGATGATGACAAATTAATATGTTGATAAAAATAAATTGAACAGTTCATCAATGCAAAAGAATGCAAAAGAACCAGGTGTGTGTGTGGTTCTCACCAACTATCTACTATACAAAAACTTTCTAAGTTGTTTTTTTTCCTTTTTTTTTTAACAAAATTAAGACCTGGAAAATAGAATTAATGAACTTGAACCTTAAATAGATCCATATATTTGCCTAACCCAAGTAACAAATGCTGAGAAAGCTGCATTTGACACAAATTTGCATAAAACCTGAATTTTACTATAATGCCAATTCCCACAATTTGCTTTTGCAATTTCTTTCAAGATACAGTATCAAGGATATGATTTTTAGGTAGTCATATGCTGAATTTCCATCCCTAAGTAGGATCTGCCACTTATGAAGACCATGAAAAAATGGTGGTGGATTTGTATATCTCTGAAGTGTTGCTAACCAAATATGTTAATGAAGAAGAAAAATCGGTAGACTAGTTTGGAAGCTAGATACTGTGCTTTCTGCTGGCCTTCTTGTGGCTGAATTCCACAACCTCTTGTTTATTTTTTCAATCTCTTTGTTCATTAAGTTTTATTAGATTAGTGTCCTGTCATGTAAGCATGCTTCTGATGAACACTAAATACACATCATAAATAAGTATGCATAATTTGTGCAGTGTGAGCCAATTGCATACTTGATTTTGTATCATTCTTGGAATTCAATTGTAAATTCGATTCTGGATCAACTTTGATTTTTCCTTTTTTAGATTTAAGTGTCTTAAACTTTCTTCCTTTGCAGTGACTTATTTTACTGCCTATCATTTAAAATCTCTTTAATGCTGCATTTGAAGATAAGCCCTTTTTTATTCAAGTTACCTCTCTAGTGGTGATAGATTTTTGCAATAGGATACAGAACACAAGCTTTATTCTATTCCATGTACATATATGTACAAATTTCTTCTTGTGGTACTAGCAACAAAAATATTTTACAGCATTACATAAATAGTTTTGACCCAGTGTAAGTACTGCTTTAGGTAGAAACAGAAGAGGAACACAGTATAATATGAAAGTCAAAAGTTTAATATTAATATCTTCAAATATGAAGTTAATGTCTAAAATGTCTCCAGGTGCTTGAATCTTGAAGTTCGACTGCCAATACATATACACACAGATGTATTTATAAATGTCTGTTGTATAAAGCTATGAGTATTTTAGCATTGTTATTATCTTAAGAAATATTCCCAGATCTTGAAAAACTTTTTATAACATATCTATAGTCATGGTATTTAAAATGTTTGTATGTCATGCCATGTAAGTAGGATAAGTTGGAGTCAGTCATAAATACTGCCTCTTGACATCTCTGCACACAGTTTGACCTCATGAGTTCTAGAAATAATTCTTTAAAGAGTAAAAAGCAGCTAAACTCAAAATCAGCCTCCTGGCTGGTTTTTGTTCAAGGTTTCATAGCTCTCTGAAACCTCTGTAGCTATCTTGAATCTTACAGCTAGACTTGTGAGGGAGTAGCTTACAGCTCTTAGGGAACAAAAAAATAAGTCTCTTTTCGACATGAGTTGTTCAGGGAGGACACCTGTAGTGCCTTCAGTTATCATTTATAGCAGTTAAACTGTATCAGTGAATTGGACATCAGCTGTGGTCTTGGTTGTGATGTTAGGGATGTGAGACCCTAAATAAGTTGATAGTGTCCCCTCTGTTCCCCCACAAAAGAGTGAATTCTGCAAAGGAATGTTAGCCAATTGGGAAGGGTCACGAGTCAGGACTAATCAGACTGGAAGGATTAATTGTTAGGCTGTTTTTCCTCATGAACAAAACAAACTAACAAATGCCTTTGCTATATGTTTCTGAAATAATTTTCAAGGTCATATGAGTGAAAGGAGCTGCATATAATTTACTTCCTATTTACAGTCCATAAAGTAGTCTTTATCAAGGTTTGCACTTCTGTTGTTTTCAAGAAACAGCACATCAAGCCCTGTTGTTGTGCCTAGAATTTTACTAGACCCTAAGAAACTGAATTTATATTATGCTTCAGTCAATACACTATTTTGTACTGTCAGTAAGAAAATGTAGAACTAGTACTATCAAGATCAAGGAATATCGCTGGAACTTCATAATTTTCTCTGCTGAGTCCAAATATCCAATGTATTTTCTATGTATTATTAAATGTAGCTCATGTAATTTCCAGCAATGCCAGTGACAGGACATTGGCTCTTTTAGGCTCTGAGGGAAATAACGTGGGCTCAGAATTGGAATGTATCTCCAGGAGTAGTCTTCATTTCTCGACTGTGCCACAATCACAGTGGGATTGAATGTACTAGCTTTAATCTAGCTAAAATAGCAGGGAGGACATGATGGCTTGCAGATACTGGGCAGTACACACTAAGTTGATTTTAGTGGGACTGCTTCTCACTCTTCATTGATACAGAGTTGCAGTACCTCATATACTGCAGGCTACCCTGTGTTATGATCTAAGCAGTAACACTGAGATTTGGTGATTTTTTTGCCCTCTCTTGTGTATCTGGACCAGGTACATCTCTCAACTCAAATGGATCAAACCAAATATATTCTTCAATGTCATTTATCATTGTGATTCTGTTAATGTTATAGTTGCCAAACAAAAGGAACTGTAGCAGTGAAAAAGGCTGTTACTGTCTACCTAAGAAGTTCTTCTAAGGGAATAGCTATTGCTTTTATTCACCTGAGTGAGGTTTTAGTTACTGGTCTATTAGTCAGAGGCTTTTAAATATAGTTGCTGTTCCCCTGGTAACACTCAACGCACATTTATCACTCAACACTCAGTTACGTTTAAAAAATGCAAATTAATAGTGTACTTTGTGCATATGTTAAAGACCTGGATATGGTTCTTTGTTGCAAAACTTCAAAGGAGAATTTCATGTTACACCTGAATGCAAATTAATTTCATCGGTACCCTGATGCCAGATCCTAGGGCTAATGCTTATGTAGGTTAGGAGTAGTTATGCAAAGCAATATAAAGGTATGACTGCAGTATGAGTTGGCATTTCTCCTGTTACAACTTCTAAAGACATTAGTGAAGATGTAGTGACGTGTATCTGTGGAAAAAGGGAGACAAATCAACAATACGCGAGTATATTCAGGCCAGTAAGTGATTGAAAAACAGAAGGAAATCTGGCATCATAATATGCAAAATTTAAAAGGTGCAAACTCTCCTTGCTAACAAGATTAAAAATAATGAGCCAAATTCCATTACAACATAAGTGATGCCAAAATTTGTGTTGATGTAAGGTATAAATATTAAATGCCACTGCTCATGAAGTAGAAGGGATTGTGGCAGGAAAAGTTACTGTGGGATATGTTTCATGCTTTACTTTCTTGCTGCCATTTTCTGCTACATCCTTAGTATTTTGTTTCTAATATATTTAAATGTGTCAAAGCTGCGATCTCTCTGAAATATCAGTATATTATATACAAAATATTACTTTTGAATAAAGTTATAGTGATGGACTGAGCTTGATAAAGGAATTGGAACTGTCTTACTCTCATATTTATAACTTATGGTCATTTTTATTTTAAATTGCTCCCAAGATTTTGTTGAGTAGCTGCCTATGAAGTTGGCACATGTTATTTTCTGAGCTATATTACTTTCTAGAAGGGACAGGACAGGGACCCTCCATACATCATAAATATTACCTGTCCTTCCTTCAGGGTTATCTGAATCTAAACTATCACATAGAAATTCTGTGTAGCTAGTGAAATTCTAGTTTTCTGCTGATAAATTTTTAGACTAAAGCTAAGGATGCTTGTGATTAAGAGCTCTGTGCTACCCTCTTTTTAAAGCTTAGTAGCCAATAGTGTGCTTATTCTATTAAAATCTCTAGTATAGATTTCAATCACACCAGCATCTCACAGAATCCATTTTTTGCTGCTAAATTTCTTTTTACAACTTTCTGTATTTTAGTGGTCAATGACCACATGAAAAATGTGGCAACATGGATTTAAAAGGATATGCTTTTAATGAAAATGACTTTGTAGTAAGATTGAGAATTATTGTATTTATAAATGATATCTTATTATTAAATACCATCAGCATCAATGGTAGATAGTGTCTTAGTGTCTAAACTGTACAATAAAATTTAAAGGTAAAAATATAAGTATTATTTTGTTCATATTGTTGTTCTATCCTTTGTGCAAGTGAAGTCCACACCTTTTCTTCACATTTTTGAAATAATTAAAATTAATTTTAAAATTAAAAAAATAATTTATTTTCCTGTAAATACAGTGGAAAGCTGTTACTATGAAAAGAAAAAAAAAAATTTTTGTAATCATATCAATATATTTGTTTATTATTCCTAGTTGTGTCGAGGTCTGAGCTTCTATACTGTCCCTGTCAATTTTGGGACAATTATATGTGTCAATTTAAAAAAAATTAATTACAGAATTGGACATCTTAAACTAAAGGATCATTTATACTGTTCATGTTTTTGATACATTGCAGTAATTGTGCAATTGTGCTTGAATGTTCAAAATATGCCTCAAGATAATTGTCATGCTGGCAGATACTGATCTTTTTGGAAGCTGTGCTTTGCTCACTTGGTTGTAATTGCAGTTGAAAGTCAAATTCATTATTCCCCTGAGCACTAAGGAAGAGACTATAAGCTAGGCGTGATTATAGAAGATTGGTAACAATTACATCAAAATTGCTTAACCATATTCATACTGTTAATATGAGGCAAACCACTCCAGTTTTATTTGGGTAACACCTTTTCAAAACAGCTACTCATTTTGTGGAAGTTTTCTCTAAATAGCAGATACATAGCCATGTATAACTAGATTGCTCTGTTTTTTTTAAAAAGAAGTAAAATAATTTTAACCAAAGTCCTTCAAGAAAAAAGAAAAAGTTTTGAGAAAGAAATCACAGATCAACCA